CGGGGGGGGGGGGGGGGGGGGGGTTCCACCGTTGGTGTTGGTGGTAGGGTTGGTTATTCTTGTAGTACATCATGGGGGAAGCTCGTGTATCGAAGGGAATCGGCTTCATTCATCCAATCCGACAAATAAAGAAGGGAAACCGCGAAGATTCCCCGACGCTTCTGCGGAGCACCCTACCTTCCCTCTCCGGGGAGGTTTTAGTCTCAACTGTTTTTAGAATCAGACCCCGTGGACTGTGCGTTGCCGCTGTGCCACCCTCTCCCTGTGCACTCTTCTTTTGACGCGCTGTTTTAGAATCGGAACCCGCGCACCGTGCGCCGTTGTTCCTATCCTCTCCCTCCTTCTACCGTTTACCCTTCTTTTGATGCGCTTGGGGGCTCATCGCGTGTCTCACGGCCTTTGCTCTTGTACTCTTGCCACCGCCGCCGCGCCCGCCCTCTACAGTGTGTTCCCCTGCTGCGTGCTTCACCGGAAGGAGCCCACGGTCCCGCGCAACGGCCCGGGTTTTCACTTCCAGGCGTGCCTAGACGTGTGGCAGAACGTCTGCACGTGCATCGCGAGGCTTGGCAAGATGCTGCTGTACGGGCTGCAAGGGCAGCAGGAGGGCGAGCACGGCGAGGTCCTCTACGAGCGGGAGGGCCTGCTGTTCGACAACCTGTGGGAGCTCGTGTTCCGCTTCTTGGTGCCCCACGCGGACGAGGTTGCCTGGTGAGTTTATGGAAGCCACGATTAAATGTCGGCGGGATTTTTTTTTTTTTATGTTTGTTTGCTCCGAAAGATCACTGGGTTGTTTTGTGTCTGCGGGGAACAAGCTCCCTCCCGTCACTGTACCGCAATCCAAATCCAACCTTAACCTAGCAGACCGCTTGCATGCGATCCCCACCACCGCTTTGCTTTCTTCTGCGGACGATGTGCGCAGTTTCTTGGCCGACCACGACGCGGGCAAGGGGAAGAGCCCCACCAGCTCTATCCTTAAGGTTGTCGGGTCGGCGTTCCCCTCCCTGTGGACGGGGCTGAGCGAGGCGCTCTCCGTCGTGGAAGGCGACGTCGGGGGCACCGAGCCGGACAGGTTCGGGGCTCTGCTGAGGGGTTACCTGGCCTACCTCCACCTTGCCGACGACAGCGAGGAGCACTACAAGGGTAGGGCGCACTGCTGCAGTGCCAGACCCCGAACTTGGAGTTGTGTGGTGTTTTGTGTTGTTTTGTGTGTGGTTTTGTCCTTTTGGGGCTGTGTTTCCGCGTCTTTCGTCCTCAGCCACCACCCCCGTCCCGCGCACACGGCGTACCGCCCCGGTGTCCGTGATAGACGGGAGGGTCTGCGTGTGTTTTCTTAATTGGCACCGACCGCAATAACCGCTTGACCAGTCAAAAAGACCTCAGTCTTGTAGCGGGAAAAGAATCACAAACAGTTTCTACTCAAAGGGTGACGACGGGGGGGGGGCGCAGGAGAGGACGACAGTGCCTGTCTGTGTATGTGTGTTTGAAGGCGGGCTTCTACCGATGCGCTTGATGCCACGGCCGTGGCTGCCATTGATCAAGACCAACAAGGCCCTCACGGTTTGCTATCAGGTACCGGGCAGATGCAAACGGTTTTCTCTTCGCACATGCTCCAAAAATTCTCCGTCCGTCCGTCTGTCTGTCCGTCCCTCTCTCCCTCTTCCTTGTCTCTCTCTCTACCTGAGTACGTACACCACCTACCAATCTCCTGCTGTCTCGCGCCATACCTTCGCTGGCGGCAATCAGGCGCCCGACCCATCCCGGCTTTGTGCGGTTCCATGCCATGGCATCCTCCCACCTCTAACACACCCGCATAAAACACGGATTGCCAGCCCCACCCCCCGGCCATCCGTCCTGTGGGAACTATTCTCCGTCCCGTGATCCATGGTCTAACCACTAAGGCATGCAAGTCATGAGTACCCCCCCCCCCCCCACCCCTCCACTCCAGCCATTGTGAAGGTTGTCAAGGAGAACGGAGTGGACACGGGGTTGGCGAGCTCCGCGGCCGCCGCCGGCGGCGACAGCGGCGGCGGCAGCGGGGTTAGGCGCGGTGGTAGAGGGCAGTCAGCAGGGCGAAATCCCAGGAACATCCTCACAGCCATCGCCGCGGAGACAGAGCTCGGGATTCCCGAAGCCTTCCGAGAGCTGGTGAGCGAAAGTCGTCAAGGTTATGGTTTATTTTTTTGTTTTTCTTTGCTGGTATCGTACGATCGATCGATCCCGTTTTTGTTGAGGTCAAGAGATTGATGTGTATTTTCTCAACCGTTTGTGTGGTGAAAATTTTGAGCCTCCGTTTCTTGACGGACATGCGGGCCCGTGGCTGGGTATGTGCGGTCGGTGACTTGCAGTGGCGTGCAGGCTTGGGGCCGGGGTTTCTTTTTTTGCCCCTCGGAGGGGGCGGACGGGGCAATTGTTCCTTTTTTTTTTTTCTGTTCCGTGTTTCTGATTTGCACCGACCTCGCCAATCGAGGGTTGAGCGCGTACCACGTGTTTAACGCTCACGTGTAACATTCTGTAGTGCGAGCCTCCTAGTGTGGTTACCTGCGGGGGGGGGGAGTAGATTTTTGGGACTTTCGCAACAAAACAATACTCTTTAGAAGTAATTCTGCCCCTGCCCAAGAACAGGCCGTACACAGGGGCAACGCCCCTTCCCGGGGAGGGGCGTGGTTTGTCTCGACCAGGAGGCGTCATCAAATGCACAAAGCATGCCTTCAAGAGGCACACAACACGAAGCTGCTGCGCGCCTCCCCATGCACCGAGGATAGGGAAAGCATTTTTGAGTCACCTTTTGGCACAACTCTCTTGTCCTCTCGAGGACGCGGTGGTCTCAAATATAGCCTAACAACCCTACGGCATGCGAAACAATCGGTACGCCCCCCCCCCCCCCCCCCCCCCACTAGGAGGGTCGCGCTCCAGAATGTGACACGT